CACGCACGCACACGCACACACACAGAAAAGAGGTCAGTGGGCTAATGAGACTGGTTTACAGGACCGTTTGCCTGTTGAAACAGGAAATATGTCATGTGCTCTATAGGACACAAGACAAGAAACACATGGGCAATGTGTGTGTGCGTGTGTGTAACTGTGGCCCAGCAATTCCCCTACTTTAAGTGTTCTACATCAAACACATCACTACTTCTATTTGTTTTTGTGCATTTCAACATCGAGGCTCATGTTCTCCACCAGTTTTTAAGTCTGATGATGTTACCTCCCCAAAGCAGGTTTTTTTTCCTGTGGCATAAGCGTGCATTCGGTCTATATACATCATAGCTGTTGTATGCGATATTTTAAATGTTATGATTTATTGGTGAAAAATTGACAAATAACGTCACATTTGACCTCTGACATGGTTAAAGCTGTAGTAAATCAATATCGAGCTTTTTAAAACTATGTTTCATACGGTTGTTGTTCTACCTACAAGCATATAGGGAACGATACACAGGGGTTTTAAATATCATGTCACATTTGAGCTCTAAAAGGAAATAATGCCCAGACAGTGAGCTGCCTTGGTGGAACGTCACACTGAAGGTCTCTAAAACTTAGCTTCATCAAGCAATGAATATTTTTTACATTTTATACTTTAAACTAGTTAATCCATAAGCAGGGGCAGATCTAGAGGGGTGGCATGGGGTGGCATGTGCCACCCTAAAATGATCTCTTGCCACCCCTAGTGCTACCCTAGTTTTGCACATGACAATGTTGTTTATTATAATAAGATAGCATTAACACTTTGAGCGTAGCTACAGTTAACACTGAATATAAATTCTAAAACTGAATATATTACATAGTGCCCCCCCCACTCACCATTAACAAATGGGTTTTTTTCTTGTTTTCAGTAGCAAGTGATGCCTATGACTGTGCCAGAGCATTTAACAGGAATTTCACATTTCACACAAGTGGTTGGTTGTTTGGAAATGCACGTTTGTGCAGGAAGAAATGCTAAAGAAAGCATTTTCTAAGGACAGCCCAAAAACAGTAAAGAAAGAAAAGAAGCCACCTCTCTCCTATTGGTGAAAAAAATGTACTATGTCGACCAATAGAAAAATAGCAACAGGTGGGATTTCTTTGTTTAGGAAGAGGGGCAAGTTTTAGGAGTGAGCGAGAGAGAGAAAGCGAGTTTTGAGATGTGAGAGATTTGTGATTTAGCGTGGAGTGTGTAGTTAGTGTGTTGTGTGGTCGTTGTTTTGTTTTGTGTCAGTGAGGGTACTAATGAATGTCACAAAAGCAGATTGCAATGAAAACACTGTCTTGAGGTGGAAAACCGGAGGATTGATACACCTGTTGTCAGGCCTGCATATGTGTTTAAAAAAAAAAGGGGGGGGGGCTTTGATTTGCCACCCCATTTGATTTCCATGCCACCCTAAGAAATTTCTCTAGATACGCCCCTGTCCATAAGAAGTTTCCTGCTTCTGCGTCTGTCATGATTCTTTCTTCTCACTGTTATGCCTTTCCGGTTTTGACTCTGCGGCTTTCTGTGTCTCTTGTATATTTTTCTCTTTGTGGTTATTTGAATATGAAGTTACAGGCCACCTGAACCCAGGTGGTGCAGGTCATCTTCATGTGAGGTTCTGAGAAAAAAAAACAAACCCCAAAACATGAAATCGTTTCATCAATAAATACTGGTTTTGTAATTTTTCTTTTCTTCGTGTGACTACCAACAGTGGTTCTATGCTACATTAAAAGATTTAAAGGGCTCACAAAATTTAAATGATCAGCCTTTTAGAAACCATGGTGACACCATGTGATGTTTAAGTGTGGAGATAAGAGAGGACAAAAGGGGATCATGAAAGCTCAATGGGTAACAGAGAAAAGAAATCAAGAGGGGATCAAGGGAGAAAAAGTGATAAGGAAAACACAAATGTGGGCCAGCTGGTCACACTAGTGCTTTAAGAGTCTCCACATTTCTGTGCTACATCTTGATGAATAGAAACATATATTAGCTTAGCAAGAAAGTGGGAGTGACGGGAGGGTGGGGGCATACAACCTCTGCCATTAATGAGCGTGTTATATCTAACTGGTTAACTTTGGCAAAGCCATAGGCGTATGAACTCCTTATAAAGTACTTTAGCAGCATTCCCACCTGGAAACTTTATTTACAAGGATAACGTCCAAAACCTTTGTTCTGCATTTCCACTGAAGACTACAGCTTTGTAGATAAGGCACATTAGGCAGCCGATATATCAAAAACTGAAAGCTGTTTTATAATGTGATTTCTCTATGTAGCAATATCAAACTTATCTGGTGCATATCCCAAAACGTTGATTCTGTTCATCGGGAGATAGTGTTTTCAGTGGGAGAAATGTTCATCCAAGTGACTTCTTCAGCCTCAGCTGAAAGCAGGTTTCCCCAATCTTATATTTGCACAATGACTGAAACTAGCACCACTGAATGAACAATGGGCTGGCAGGTCAGTTCCTTGATTATTAATATGCAAATTCTCATGACCATTGAGAGTTATGTGTGTGTGTGTGTGTGTGTGTACGTACACAGGTGAAAGTCAAAAATTTAGAATATCGTGCAAAAGTTCATTTATTTCAATAATTCAACTTAAAAGTTCAAACTAAAATATGATATAGACTCATTCCTTTATTTTTTTATTTTGATGATTATGGCTTACAGCTTATGAAAACCCCAATTTCAAAATCTCAGAAAATTAGAACATTTTATGAAATGAATAAAACAAGGATTTTAAAAAGAGAACTGTTGGACCTCTAAAAAGCATGATCATACATATGTACGCAGTACTTGGTTTGGACCCCTTTTGCATGAATTACTGCCTCAACACAGCATGGCATGGATGCTATCAGCCTTTGGAAGACTAGGTTGCTTAATTAGCAGCCTTCAGCTCTTCTGCATTGTTCGGCCTCATGTCTCTCATCTTTTTGTTGGCAATGCCTCATAAATTCTCTCTGGGGTTCAGGTCAGGCAAGTTTGCTGGCCAACCAAGAACAGTAATCCCAGTGTCATTGAACCAGGTTTTGGGTACTTTTAGCAGTGTGAGCAGGTGCCAAGTCCTGCTGGAAAATGAAGTCAGGATTTCCATAAAGCTTGTCTGCGGAAGGAAGCATGAAGTGCTCCAAAATGTCCTGGTAGATGGCTGCGCTTACTCTGGACTTAATAAAGCATAGTAGACCGTCACCGGCAGATGACATGGCTCCCCAAATCAACACAGACTGTGGAAACTTTACGCTGGACTTCAAGCATCTTGGATTGTATGCCTCTCCACTCTTCCTCCAGACTCTGGGAACTTGGTTTCCATATGAGATGCGAAATTTGCTCTCATCAGAAAAGAGGACTTTAGACCAGCAACAGACCAGTTCTTTTTTTCCTTTAGCCAAGGTAAGATGCTTCTGATGTTTGTTGTTCAGGTGCGGCTTGACAAGAGGAATACGACATTTGAAGCCCATGTTCAGGATCCGTCTGTGTGCCGTGGCTCTTAATGTACTAACTCAGTCCACTCATTGTGAAGGTCCCACACACTTTTGAATGTCCTTTTCCTGACAATCCTCTGAAGGCTGTGGTCATCCCTGCTGCTTGTGCACCTTTCCTTTCCACGTAACTTTCTATTAATGTGCTTTGATAGAGCACTTTGGGAACATCCAGCCTCTTCTAAGAGACCATTTAAAAGCCCACTATGCAGGTGTTTTGGATTAATTAGCTAATTAGACTGTGACGCTTTAAATGGTAAATGGCCTGCATTTGTATAGCGCTTTTCTAGTCCCTAAGGACCCCAAAGCGCTTCACACTACATTCAGTCATCCACCCATTAACACACACATTCACACACTGGCGATGGCAAGCTACATTGTAGCCACAGCTACATTGTAGCCACAGCTGCCCTGGGGCGCACTGACAGAGGCGAGGCTGCCGGACACTGGCGCCACCGGGCCCTCTGGCCACCACCAGTAGGCAAACATGGGGTTAGTATCTTGCCCAAGGATATTTGGCATGCAGGCAGGAGGCAGCCTGGGATCGAACCACCTGATTAGTGGCTGACCTGCTCTGCCACCTGAGCTACAGCCACCCCATATTTTTTAAACCTAAAATATCGAGAAAATATATATATATATATGAATTAGACTGTTTTCAAACGACAAAGGATGTATTAAATCTGTGTTGATCCCAGTATAAATCAAAATGAAAACACTTGTGAGACCCTCACAGTGCCATGGCTTGTAGTGATTATCTGTGATGGCTTGGAGCGATATTTGATCGTTTACAGAAACAGTCCATGTGTAAAAGGGAGGAAGGATTTCACTGTAACTTTCTTTTAGTTTCCTTTCATGGGAAAACAGTCCTCTGTGTACACAAACAATTATATCCTAACCACATGTTCAAAGATCAGGAGAGGGAGATGGGGTAGTAAACTGAAAACCTCTCTTTATTTTCAGAGGAACTGAGAAATCCTTCTTTCATCAAACAAAGAGTTTTGGGTTAGAAATATGTGTATTAGTGAAGTAAAGAAGAGAATATGGGAAATGGTTAGTTTATTGTAGGAATACATATTTACTGCAAAGAGCAGAACAGCTGCTAGCCTGCAGTACTGTGAAAAACTCACTTCTTCACAGTTTGTATCCAAGGAGTCAGACTTTCTTGTATTTTTGTGCTCAAGTGCTCTTGAGCAACAGTTGTCCAGCTTCCTGTAGGTCTTTAAAATTGTTCCTTTTGGCATTGCCTGCTTTATCACACATTTTCAGTCCTTGTACCTGACCAATTTGACATAAATGGGCTCTTTGTTAAGCCACTGATCTCTAATCTATATATCATTCAAGTATAAATATTTTGTTAAATACAAACTTGACTGCTTTTATACACCTGCTTGGTGCTGCTGGAGTCACAGTGAGGTTAAGTGACACAAAAAGGAATTTCCCAAAATGCTGAGCACTCTTTTACATTGCCAGCCATGCTTCTGTTTATGTGGCTCTCTTACTATGTTAACTTTTCCTCATTCTGGTCTCCATCTTCTCTGTGGAGGTAACAGTGGTTAATAGCCACCACCAGGAGAAGGGCCTCTTTTCTGCTGTGTGTGCCAGCTCAGAGGGGGGCAGTTTTAGCAGCCACTGCAGTGATCAAACATCCAGCAGCTACAACTGTACATTAGCTCACTGCTGCTTCTTGTTAGAGAAGGCAGAGCTGGTAATGGGCAGCAGTACCAAATCCTGACAGCAGCTTTAAATGGATGGCAACACTTATCTGCATGTGTTTTACAGTCACTGGCACTCTGAGAAACCTGGACACAGTATATTTACTCTGTTGGTAGGGACTGCTACAGAAACAATGTCAGATTGAGACATGCTTTTAAGAATATTTTCTAAACAGACACCTCCAAAAGAAGCTGGCAAATGGACGAAATGGGAACAAGAGCAATGGTATTGAGAAGTTTTGGATGTGCAGCAATGGGGCTTTCAGAGCAGTGTGATGGTCTGACTGAGCTTGAAAAGAGGGGCTATAGAAACAACAGCGAGGAGAATAGAAGAGAGTTGCACAATTGTTTCTTTGGCTCCTCACTTCACATGCTAGACCTCCTTTGACAATCCCCCACCCCCATCCTAGCAGCCCCACTCCAAACTGTCTTCAAACCAGACAATAACGGCATTCACTGATATCCAAGATATTAAAAGGGTTGATTATGAAAAAAAAATATTATCCACTTATGTAAAAATAAAGCACGTTCTTTTAAAAGTGAACACACATATCTGAATCCTAATCCAAAATTTGTGTTACAAACATTTATCCAAATCTGCACATTGCATAGACTGTATATAAAAGAAGGATGTGGCTTCCATGCAAAAAAGTGCCTTAAAAATTAAAAGCAAGGCAGTAGGGGCCTCCTTTAGTTGTCTCTACACACTGGGCTTAATAACACAGCATAAAGATGATTCCCTACAGTGAATGTTTGATATTTTTTATTAAAGTAACTACCAAGGGGTAAGATCAGGGGCAGATCTAGAGAAATTTTCTTAGGGTGAGAAGGAAAACAAATGGGGTGGCAAAATCAAAGCCTTATTTTTCTAAACACATATGCAGGTGGTTACATATGGTTAAAATGATTCAAATGCAGTAAGTATACACATTTTTCCATAAATATAGTCTATAACTTAATTATTTTCTGTAGCCCACATAATTAAACATTTTAGTTACATAATACGTACAAATTTTGATTTTATGTACTGTATAGCCTGTATAATAAATAAATAAATATGTAGCTCAACTAGCTAACTTGAGTTTCACACCGTTTTTTGTTAGAAAAAAATCTAATTGTTCCACAAAACGTCAGAAATTTGCACTGTCATGAACAAAATTTTACACCTAATTTTTCATGATTTGTTGAGTTAACCCTCTGAGGTCAAAAATATAACTGGCTATTTTTGACTCCTTTTGATTTTACATTTGTATTTCACCTTTAAATTGCTTCATTTTATTTGTTTGCCTTGCTTGGTATCATTCTTTTCAGCACAACTTCTACGTGTCTAAATTTACAGTTATTTTTTCATTGACATACTGTATTATCACAACTCATCTGAAATCACACAAAAGACAATAAAATCCTAGTAGTAGGTTTTTTTTTTTACTGTAAAAACCACAGACATGTTTAGTAAATTATTTTTATAACTTGAAATGCAAATATAAATTGTTCATTTTGGAAACCTTACGCACACATTTTGTAAACATATCCAAATATTTATCTAAAAATGCAGCCAATACACCTGCTGTCTTTTGTACAACAATTTAAAAATACTACTCTAACTGAACTGAGAGAACAATCAGGTGTCACAATAAGTCATTAGGGCCCTCACTGACACAAAACAAAACAACGACTACACAACAGACTAACTACACAAGACAACGCAACACACTAACTACACACACACTGTCACAAATCTCCCAAATCTAATCGCTATTGATATCTCTCTCTCTCTCTCTGTCTTACTCACTCGCTTGCTCTGTCTCTCCGCCGTCACTCCCAAAACGTGCCCCTCTTCCTAAACAACCAAATCCCACGTGTTGACTTTTTTTTTAATTGGTCGACATGGTACATTTTTCCACCAATAGGAAAGAGGTGGCTTTTTTTTTTCTTTACTGTTTTTGCGCTGTCATTAGAAAATGCTTTTTAAAAAACGTGACAATAGTATTTAGAAAAAAGCATTGCTTATGTATGCTTTCTAATCATAAAACTCTGGATTTAGTGGCCTGTCATTAAAATTTAAACACCGGTGTATACTTTGAAGTCAGAACTTTAAACACTGGCTGAGACTCTGCGCGGCTGCAGCTTGATGTCAGCTTATATCAGTCATGTGATCTGGAGGTGTGGCATGTCCGTGGACCCCAGAGGGTTAGTAACACTCACCTTCATTCCATTTCCAGAGTGTAACATCCAACCACCTGTGTGAAATCTGAAATTCCCATGGTGTTGTTCAAAATGTGCTCTGGCACAATCATAGGCATCACATGCTACTGAAAACAAAAAGCCAGTCTGCGCTATGGGCTGAACCACTTGTTAATTGTGCAGGGGGTGGACACTACGCAATATATTCAGTTTTAGAATTTATATTCACTGTTAACTGTAACTACGCTCAAAGTGTTAATGCTATCTTATTTTAATAAACAACACTGTCATATGCAAAACTAGGGTGCACTTGGTGTGGAAAGAGATCATTTTAGGGTGGCACATACCACCCCATGCCACCCTTCTGGATCCACCCCTGAAGAGAAGGGATGATGGATGTGAAGGAAAGGAAAATATGACACAGCAGAAAGGACTGGGAAATTAAAAAACAGATCAAGCTCTTTGTGTTCTGATTTTAGTTCCTCAGCAATAGAGGGAGATGTGTGAATTATGACAATCAAGTTGATTGATATAGAATGTGTTATTTCAGGTGGAGCTGTCCCTCCCTGTCACATCTGAACACATTTTAACAGACCTAGATGATGTGTTTGAAACTATAAAGGCAGCGATGTTAAGTTGGAGGAGCTACTCTGAATACAAAACGAAGTACAGCAGCATAACCAGCAGTGATCTTGATGTGAATGAGGCAGCGCAGAGACACTCATACCTTTTTCTCTGAGATGTCTCTGGGTTTGGTCGCTTTACTGCAGCCTCTGGGGCCCTGAGGTGACGAAAGCGCCGTTTGCGAGACGGGGCCACATCTGTGAGGTCACTCAGGCTTTCATCCAGTGGTCCCGGAGTCGGTGATTCTGAGAAGAGCATGGAGTCAGGAGAGTGAAAAACAGTAGTCAAACAAAATGAGAGCAATCTTACTATACTGATGATAATCTTTGTACAGTATGGACACCATCTCCTCATTAACCAGGGGGCCAGTCTAAACAAAACATTGTCACACATACAGCAACTATTTACATCTATGTGTTTTTAAAAAAAAGATTCATTATAAACCCCAGTTCTTTGGATTTTTGTATATATTATGTTCATTTAATTGCCCCCCTGCAAAAGCAATGATGCAGTCTCTATTTGTGTTTGTTTTCACTGTGTCACGTTCAGTGGATGTCATGTGTAAGTTAATGGTTTGAGTCACAACTAAATACAGGATGAAGGATTGGAAGAAGTGCAGAACGGGTGGTTTTTGCTACTAGTCCCATTGGATTAGCCCACTGAAAGAATCTAACACACATATTTCCCAACCTTAAATGGGATCACCAACTAATCCAATGTTTAAGTAACACATTTTGAACCTTAGCAGCACTTTCTACACTACACAAAACAGACCCATGCAGACACACAGCAACACTACAGTATTCCACGAATTCACTTTACCCCTTCACGCCCCCCTTCCCTACTAGCCATCTGAGTCATTGTCGTGGCAACAGAAAAAACACAAATGGTGCAAGTTTTGCCTGGTGATGGGAAGGGAAAACCCAACAAGGAAAACAGCATCCAAAAATTGTTGACGTATAAAAAAGAAATCTAATCTGGAAGTAAACCATTTCAAAGTGGAAAAATCATGAAAGGCAAAAGTCCCCTAAAAACCTCTTGCAGTGTCTTTATTGCTAACTTATGTTCACTACTTACACTTACATACTTGGCACACTAATTACATCCATGCCATCTGGGAGTAAAAATCTAGTGGCTGATGAAGGGTAATGTCAATGGTAGAAGCTGCTTATGTAATACTATAGTTACTTTAAAAAAAACTTTACTTCACCTTAATTTACTTCACCAAAACCTTTAAAGGAGCTCAAATGCTTTGGACCAGAAGGTTTGGCTATGTACAGAAGCAGTGAAATGAATGAGAAAAAAAAAACCTGACCTGTCAGTGACATAGGACACACCAAGTTTTCAAATAATTACACTTCAATATTTGGTAGCACATAAAAGTACTGCTTGTAAAATTAATCTTGTTTACAATAGAAAATAAAATAGTGATGTAAAAATCTTCACATTGGTTTTAAATGCTTCTTCAGTGTTAATCTCAATAGTTTAAATGTTTACAATTTAAAAAAACATTCTGAATAAAAATGTTTTTCAGCAAAATAAAGTACAAAACATTGTAAACTATTTCTTCAGTATAGGTTAGACATGTTTTACTTACAGTGAACTCATAAAAAGTGCAAATAAACCATGGAAAGATAAAATATTTCACTCAAGATGAGACCACAGTAGCATGAAATGGCACCACCTCTAAGCCCTGACTTTCTACAAAAAAACATTCGCGGAGAGAAGCAAAACTAGATAATAGCTTTGAACTTAACGCATCACATCATTAGAGTAGTTTGGACGCGGAAGCAGGGTTCATATGTCATCACTTAAAGACCGGATATCCCACCTGCTGTGAATGTTTTAAAGCAGTGCAGTTGTTATTATTATTACTTGTCACATCCCGTTTATGACAGTTAAAATATATTACATTCATATAAGAAGTAAAATTGTCTTGTGTAAACTGGAGATGGCACGATACCACTTTTTTATGTCCGATACCGATATCATAAATTTGGATATTGGCCGATACCGATATGAATCCGATATAGTGTTTCTTAATCAATAAAACTGTTTTTTTTTTGTTTT